AAAAAAATGTTTATTTAATGAATATAAAGGGGTTTGTTAAATAAAATTTGGCTTGGAAGGGTTAAAAAAATTTGGGAAAGGGGAAAATTAATGAAATATAAATAAATTTATTTAAAACTCAAAAACCAGAATAAGTTTGAGTCTTTTAAAATTGCAAATTAGCTTTAAAAAAATCAAAATTAAGGAAGTTATAAAAATTTTTTCAATATTATTAACGGAATTTTTTTGTCAAACTTAGTTATTCATTATTCTAAATACATATATGTTGTCAAACTAAACAGTTTGATATGTAATGATATTTTGCTAAATGTAAGTTTGAGGTCCTATTGGCTCCAGAATCATATCATAGTAAAGTCACTTTTTCCTCCTAATTCTTTTTTTTCTAATTCCTACATGGTAAAAGATTACTTTTTTCTCAGTTTCAAAACGCACTTTTTCATTTAAATTCCATGTTTCACTTAAAAGCGTATTGATTTTGGAAACTATTTCCTACATATTCGTATATAATAAATCAACATGTATCTTTCCTCTTTCAAAGCAGCTTCGAATTTTTATACAATATACATAATTTTACATAATGATATTGGGCAAAGTATATGAAAAACATATGTAAAAAACTGATAAGAATGAAAATAAAGCCCTTTCAGCTTTCTCCTCTGTAATATGAATACAATTTTGTTAAATTGTAATGAATATGGTCATTAAGAACATTTTTTATCATTGTATTGGATGATGAATTGGTCTTTGGTTCTTCAGGAAAAAAGTGTAAATGTATCTCTGACAAGTGTCACAATTCAATGCAAAATCCTATTGTCATGGTTTCTATCAAGTGTGTACAAGCCCTACAACGTGATGCAAAGGCTTCAATACAAAGCCATCCGTCCGCTGTGTAGGCACATCTTCAATCGCCCAGTAATCTTTTTGATCTTTTAATATTCTTGTATAAGAGTGTGTGCTTAATGTGTATGGCACAGGGTTAGGTTAAATTATGTTATGATAGAACGAGCATGCATTTATAACATCTATAAGCTCTCAATGTGCTTAAAGAATTGATAATACACATTTATATGCTATTCATTAAATAACAAAGAAATAAAATAACTGATGTGGTAACATACATGTAAGAGACTCTCCTAAAATCTTTGCAATTTTCTTAACTTTTAGCAATCGTAAACTTTAAGTGTCATTCTACTTCATTAAATCGTACGGGTGACAGATTAACATGAATTGTTTAACAGGGTTTTTGCTATTTTCTTATGATTATGGCCAACATGTTACACTGAACGACTGGTTGAAAGATTCTTAAACAAAGAATTCAATCATTTATTGTTACCATCATGGCTTATCTGAAGAGTGAATCGTAAATATGACAGAAAACTCAACACATGTAGGAGAAAGACAATAAAAGATAGTCATCAATGGTTTTTCAATTTTGATATCGTCATATTGCGAAAGGACATCCTGAATGTCTCGTCGTGTTTAAATTTAAGGTTGATGAAAATTAATATCAAGACACAGTGTCCAATTTACAATGAAGCCGTTAATGAGACTTTATAATAGAGAGAAATAATGAATCCCTATAGAACGCACAAAGCGACAAAATAAATAATGCTGCAGGCACGGTATGATTGAGTCTGCTCATTTTTTATTATGCGTTTATTTAAGGTCGCCGCCGGAAAGCCCATATGGGCGACCGTACACTCAAGTCGGGCCATCCTAGAGCGTCCCGCCGAGATTTTTTCGTCGATTTTTTTCCAGCTTTATTGGTGGAGGAAGACCCCCAAGTGCCCCTTCGGGCATTATTTCAGGCACGAGCGGGCACCTTGGTAGAACCACCGACCTTCCGTAAGCCAGCTGGATGGCTTCCTCGCATGAAAGATTTCGACCCGTGTGAGGATCGAACTTACAGCGGTGAGGGACCTGTGATCTCAAGTCCGCGACCTTAACCACACGGCCACGGAGGCCCTAAGTCTGCTCATAGACGGTATTGGCAATTAGAAGTCATTGTCCACGCCCACTATTTTAATTTTGAATTAAGAAAAATCCGCGGATTCATGTCCCGCGACATAAGAAAAATACAATTATTTAAAAAAAAATCAAATGTAGGTCCATAATGAGCAACGGTTGTTATAAGTATTTGGTAGTGATTATCATATATTTCATCATTTTACTTCAAGACTCAGATTGGTCGATTGTGTATAAAACTATCAGAATATAGCTATTATTAAATTCGTTGCTGAAACCAACCAGTACTTAGAAAATTAGTGCAAAGTAACTTACTCAAACAAAACACTACTCACCGTTGACCAGGTTCGAACCCATGAGGTTAGAGATCATTAAAAATAAAACGGATTAAAATCAATAAATGTATTTTCAATGCCGTAAAAGACACTACAAATCTGTTCCATTAAAATATACTGCAAAAATAAGGAAAGAGTATTAAAACAATGGCAACGGTAAGGATCGAACCACTACCCTCTCAAATATCCGGCATTCTCTTAACCGACTGTACTATTGTGAATTGATGAAAACCTTCACATTAAGCTAGCGTGACTTTCAATCCATGACTAATATACTCCACATTAATAATCGTAAACTACACGGACCAAACCGAAGTGGATCGAATATTTAAATGAGTCCTATAATGTATGCATACTTGACAGGTCAATAAATAGAGACTATACTGAGAATTAAGTAAGAAGCATTCAAGTCAAAATATGATAAACACATTAACGACTACTTGTACTGTACACGACAATAATAGCAATTAATAAATATAGGAAATACTCTGATTTTACGTTCATGTAACAAGTTTGAGTAAAGTCTGATAATTACTTGCAGGATACACGATATCATGATATTTTGTAAAGTTGTATGTACATGTTCTGTCTTACACAAACGACCTAATGAAAATATCTTTGAAAAATCAAATCCTTTTTACAACCCATTTAAAATCCTAATTTAGGCTTATACTTTCAAAATTGTGAAGTATTTGATTCAGACAACATGTTGCAATTGTACTTGGGCTGACTCCATAATCATGCCATGGAAACGGAAAATTATTAACAATATGCTTATTTGACTGTTTTCCAATATGACTGAAAACAATGATGTATACTGGATTCAATGAAAGATACAGTTATAAATTTGAAATCTCGTATTTCGATTCCCTTTAAAATATCTGTATTCCCATTTAAATATTTGGATTTTAAGCAAATGGATAAATTTCTTGCCATAAATGTTTTGTCAATGTGTGAGTAATACAAGCTGTTTAATGAGATGTCAATCTTAGTCAACACAATCCATATTTTCTTTTGTCTTGTGGGTGTTTTGATTAAACATCTGCTTTACTTCCCCAGCAATATTCATCAAAATAGCAAAGCTACTTCTTCTGTTCATTCAACAGTTTATTAGCACATGCCGTAACTTTTTGATGTTTGCAAGTGAAACATGTATATGGACTTTTAAAGAATTATATTATTATCAAAATAACATGAAAATTAGGAAGAAGGGTCAATGCCAATATAATGATTTTGACGCATCTTTTCTTTTATATTTATTTTTCTCAATTTATTGCAGGAATTAAGTGTTGTAAACGGTATTTTTGCTATAATTGGTCAAAGTGTAGTAGTTCTCGTCTATCACAATATTCCAATTTCGATTATTCGAAGCTATCGATTATCCAAAGTAAATTTTCAGTCCCAGGCACTACGAATAAACGGGGTTAATTTGTAAATGATTTTTTATATGCATTGTCAAATATATTGCATTCTACATGAAATCAATATGTGCTAATATTAAATGGGAATGTTTTATCTTCTTCTTTGATAGGGTATGGGTTAGGGTTAGGAAATAAAAAAAACATTGTTAGTTAGTGTAAAACATTATTATTAGGTGCAAACAAAATTCCATAATTTTCAATTCAACAAAAGAAATGCCTTAAAAGTGACACAAATATAAAATACTTATTTAAAAGTTGCTTGAAGTGTCATTATTGGTAAATAAATCTAATTTGTTCATAACGTTGATTTTTGTGAATGTGCAGAATGAAATTTACTTCAATAAAGCTACTGTAATGAAAAATGTGGTCCAAAATATCAAACCAGTATCTTATTTTCTTTTTGCTTGTTTTATACTTACTGTATATGACATAATTTACAGTTCTACGCAATATTTGGACCCAAAGCAATGCAGGAATTTTGTCAACGATCACAACCACTAAGAAACTGACGCCTCTCAATATATAGCATTTATATACAGTTAAAAATGTTTATGAACACAATAATGATGGATAGTAACAAAAGTTAAGAAATCTTAAAAATTATACAAAATTTCACACTTTATTTTTATGCGCAACTTACACTTTTTAAATTTATGTTTAGCGTTTCTGATACATTTTTTGATGGACTAAGTTGAAAAATAAAGTTTAAATGAAAAAGAGTGAAACACATGAAATATTTTGCCCGCCATTTCATATCATTCTGCAAAGACTGCGCCATTATTTACAGGTTTTAGCCGATTTTTTGTTTAAATACTTGTGTGTACCTGGCCAATCTTTTACATCTAGTTATCATTAAGCGATTAAATTCGATGTAATGTCTCACACTTGCAATTATCAAAGTTTAACTAATTTTATTTTAATCTTTGAAACCTAACCTTCAATATGAGAAAGACAACAGGGTTTTGCTATCATCATTTATAGTTCTCTTTAAGTAATTTCAAAATTGTTCAAATTGAAGTTTTCAGTCATACAAATGTTAATAGTAAAACATAGAGAGATAATTTATGATTTCATTCTTGACTTCGAGATATACGATAGGAGTTTTATAAAGAATATTTCATGAAACCGTGTTGTAGTCTAATCCTCGTATATGTTTGGTGTGTTAATAATCAGACTGTACTCATATATAGTCCTCTAAATATCCTCTATAGTCTGTCCCTAGAATAAAAACATTTTCCACTTTTGTCAAAGGAATTGCACTCAGACTAGAGCTTAAATATTATTTTTTTGAAGAAACAAATACTTCATCTACTGTAAAAAAATCAGAAAGAATTATAATATAGTTCTCACAAAATAAAAAGAAAAACAAATGTTGAATAAAATTCAGGATAAAGATAAACCCATATTGCCTTTAAAAGAAATATCCTCCAAATCCGCTAGATGACTATTTTTATGAAACGGGACTGGTATTAACATGAATTTATCCTGTCCATAAAACGTAAACTATTTCCTATTTGTTGAACATGGTCACTGTCAGAGGGAATAATATAAAAAAAATCAAATACATACAAATATTTTATGCAAAGGTCGGATTAAGCAAAAGGACTTTGTTGTTTATAGTGGTATTCTGATGGCAACATATTGCTGATGATCGATCATCATGTCAAAAACTGTTAAATATTACTTTATTCTATGTATTTCGCTTTTACTTATTGGTATTTCGAAGACTTGTGCGAAATAAGTATATTTAATTTTTCTCTTGCCCTTTGGTTAAGTGGACTTGAGGAATCCAAATAGAGCTTTCAAAAGCCACTAAAATCCAAATTCTTGCCGTCTCATCTTAGAAATAGTTCCATCTTTTAATTTAAACATAGAGGATCCTCTAGGCTACACATCTGCGACGTTTTGATATCAGAGTTTATAAAACATCTTTGACTCTCCACCATTGTTTGCATTTAACATGTGTTCAATTTAATTAAGACATTTGTGATAAAGCATTGCAGAAACAAAGGGCGATCAATTACTTGGTATACAAATCTTTAAAACATGTTTCATGTAACAGATTAACGAGGCAGCTTACGAAAAGTAATTAACATGAAGAAAGGATCTGGTATTTTGTGTTTTACTAAGTTCGATGTTCAGTTTTGAAGATCACGTGTTTGCTTTGGTGAATTGGTCGAAACCTTAGATTTATTCTCGTTTTATGTTTAAGACATGTTAAATGGATAAGAACAATGTCAAAACATTAAGGTCACCTGTTTGATATAATAAATTGTTATATAATCCAACAGACTTATAAGATAATAAAAAATATGGTATCAAATCATAGAAATACAGTCTGCCAAATTAGTTTGGCATATTTGATCAAAATAAATACAAAAGTACTAGACTTAATCTGACTCATTAATGTTAACGTTGGAAATAAATACTAGTTGACATGCTCTGATATGGACGTGTTTTTGCATGTAGCTAAGCATTCACCTTTGTTGTATCCATTAACAACAAATCATCGCATTTGCTTAATTTATATTTTAATTTATACAGGTATTGTAATATCAATTATCGCAGCTGAACTTTTATTTCAACACACAATCTAACTTTATAGTATCAAATATTGAAGGAAAGCCATAGAGTTAAATACACGGTTTATTGAAATATCATTAAAGTGGTCACGTGAATTAAAATATTAAGTTTTATTTGTGATAATTTTGTCTGAATACCACTGAAAATTAATTCATCTCTAACTTTTTGCATTGTGTTACTTCCTAATTATATTTCCAAAATGTAAATGAAATCAAAATTAATCATAAAATAGAGAAATACAGAATCCCTAAAGAAAGCCTAACACGACAACATTGAAAATGTTACAGGCTCGGTTAAAAAATATCAATACAACAGGCATGCTTAAAAGCAAATCCTTAACATGTTTGTTTGATTGAGTTTTACATCACACCGACTCTGGCGGGGGTTCGATCCCCGGGAGATGCTTTGGTAGTTCAGCGCGGAGGAAGGTAGTCTAGTACTGGTGTAACTCTCCAGGAATGATGGTTAGGAAACTACCCGCCTATATGACTGAAATACTGTTGGGAAAAGGCGTAAAATGAAACAAACAAAAAAACATCACACCGACACCGTATAAGTCATATTGCGACGTTCCAGCTTTACTGGAGGAGAAAGACTTCGGCTTCCGTCCGAACGGGCACCTGAGTAGAACCTCCGACGTTCCGTAAGCTAGCTGGAAAGCTTCTTTACATGAAAGAATTCAAAGTCCCTGTCGGGATTCGAATCCACAGCGGTGAAGGACAAGAAGTTTTAAGTCAGTTGGCCACGGACGCCCCCCCCCCCCCCGAATCCTGAACAGAAACATAATTTTTTCTGGAAAACTGAAGATTGTGCTTTGAAATTTTGAAAAACAAGGAATTCATGCGTGTACCTACTTTCGTTGAAATATCAAACAGTTAAAGTTAAACATAAAAAAGATTAGTTGCAACATCTGCTACAGCAAAATCCATACACATGTCAATTAAAGAAACTTTGAGTGACTTTAAAATGTATCGTTGAGATGTTCATGTAATTTGAATGTCAAAGTTGTCATTTTTATCATCGATCGTGTACCAACTGTTCTATAATGTACAACAAACTATGAAACAGATTATTTTGACTTTTCTGTCTTAAATGCAAAAGCAAATAATATCACAAGCTTGATACATGAGAATCGAACTTACAGTCACCAGCTATGTGACATACTGGCGACACGTTACCACTTAGCCAAAATTAAATGATATTTTATAGTACTTGAGGTAGGTTTTTACGCATGCGTAACATTCATTCTTTTGAATGTCATCATGTGGGCTGAAGAAAAGTATTGCATTTCTTAAGTAAGTTTTGTTTATAAAATTGATTTTTGATGTAAAGGCAAAGTCCAGATGCAAGAACTTCCGAACATTTACATTTGTTAAACAAGAAAGAAAATTCAATTGAACCCGCTTTTGATTCAAACACGCAATTACTGGCTTACAAAAATATAACGCAGTGCTGTAAATTTGTGCAGTAATGTCTAAAAATATTTTGTTCACGGGAATATCTTCATCTTTATTATGTCAATGATATGTTTTATGTTCTGTATTCAAGTTTGTTTGATTGAGCAAAAAACAAAATTCCCCACATACCTGGACAATGATCTGAATCTATGACACACTATTCAATATTGGAGATAACGAAGATTTTGTGTAAAGTATTTAACCCTTTAACTGAACTGGTTAGGACATTGTCTTAGAGTGAGGTACGTGATGCTTGTGAACTGAAGTGCCAGAAGTGTATCCAATATCTGAGACGCTTGCAGATACGTCTTCGCAACTTAAGGATGCTTGTGAGAATGTAGGATAAACCTGATCAGTGAAAATGCCTCCTAAACGTAGTTCTCCCATGTTCATTTTACTAGAAACCACATCGCTCGCAGACAGCCTTCGACCGATTAATGCCACAGTGATAGTAATTTGGGATTTTCTTATGAAGTAACATCCACAAAAAAGAATTTACGATGTCGAATATATTTTAATAGGCTGAACAAAATAGCCTCCCTAACTTAAAATACATAAACATTCAAACATTAAAATTTGCACCTTACTAGAACTGCCACTATGATGGCGTGAATACCCCCGCATACCACTTTGTCAGAATCAACAGTGGCCATTTAGAGCTGAAGGACAACCTCCCTGCCAAATCTGAGGTTACTAAGCCAGTGCATTGCTAAGTTATGTATTCTACATGCTTCAAATGTGAAAATGTCAAAATCCATACATTGCGGACAGGACATTCTTTTGCAATTGAGAAGAAAAGCTTTTTTTGTCAAGGTCCCTGTGACCTTGACCTTTGACCCAGTGACCTCAAAATCAATAGGGGTCACCTTATAGTCATGATCAACATCCATGCCAAATATGTTGACTGTGGGTTAAAGGAATCTTAAGTTAATGGGTGGACAAACTTTTTGAAGTCAAAGTCCCTATTACCTTGACCTTTGATCCAGTGACCTCAAAATCAAAAGGGGTCATCTACTAATCATGACTAACCTCCATTCCAAATATGAAGACTGTTGGTCATAGGAATCTTAAGTTATTGGGCGGACAAGCTTTTGAAGTCAAGGCCCCTGTGACCTTTGACCTGGTGACCTCAAAATCAATAGGGGTCATCTACTAATCATGGCTAACCTCCATGCCAAATATGAAGACTGTGGGTCAAAGGAATCTTAAGTTATAGGGCGGACAAGCTTTTTGAAGTCAAAGCCCCTGTAACCTTGACCTTTGACCTGGTGACCTCAAAGTCAATAGGGGTCATCTACTAATGATGACTAACCTCCATGCCAAATAAGAAGACTGTGGGTCAAAGGAATCTTAAGTTATAGGGCGGACAAGCTTTTTGAAGTCAAAGCCCCTGTAACCTTGACCTTTGACCTGGTGACCTCAAAGTCAATAGGGGTCATTTACTTATCATGACTAGCCTCCATGCCAAATATGAAGACTGTGGGTCAAAGGAATCTTAAGTTATTGGTCGGACAAGCTTTTTGAAGTCAAGGCCCCTGTGACCTTGACCTTTGACCTGGTGACCTCAAAGTCAATAGGGGTCATCTACTAATCACGACTTACCTCCATGCCAAATATGAAGACTGTGGGTCAAAGGAATTTTAAGTTATTGGGCGGACAAGCTTTTTGAAATCAAAGCCCCTGTGACCTTGACCTTTGACCTGGTGACCTCAAAATTATTAGGGGTCATTAACTAATCATGACTAACCTCCATGCCAAATATGACGACTGTAGGTCAAAGGAATCTTAAGTTATTGGGTGGACAAGCTTTTTGAAGTCAAGGCCCCTGTGACCTTGACCTTTGACCTAGTGACCTCAAAATCAATAGGGGTCATCTACTAATCATGACTAACCTGCATGCCAAATATGAAGACTGTGGGTCAAAGGAATCTTAAGTTATTGGGCGGACAATAAAAAACCGACGGACGGCCGGTTGGCCGGACAGCCGGACGGACAAGCTGATTCCAGTATACCCCCCTTACAACTTTGTTGTGCGTGGGTATAAAAATTATTTATGGAAAAGCTATAATAAAGAGGTACTTTTATCACTCATTCAATCTGATTTTCTAAAGTCTGAGCAATCGATGAAGTCTTGAGGTACAATGATTTTAACGTTTGTCATGAATGTCATTCTGTAATGAGTCATAGAAAGCAGAAAGCAAGAACAATGGGCTTTTATTCTAATTTTCGATAATTTGTGTATTATTCATCAAATATCAAGAAAGTAATGTTTCATTCTGAACTAAGAAAAGTTTCAAAGAGCAAATACCGAAAAGGACACAATAGTCTTTGTTCAACACTGCCCGTTATACTAATATATATCAACATTTTGCTTTTTGCTTTACAAATGTAATTATATCTGCATATAAATTCTTACATCCATTGTCTGCCTGACGTTGAATAATTTTTTCCTGTCGGTCCGTCCAAACAACTCCATAGGGTTTTCAGGCCAAAAATAATCATTTAATTTATTCCGTAAAATATCGTGTAAGGTCTCGTTGCCATATTTTCTGACAAAAATACATATAAAGGTAATTATCCGTCATTAATCAAAAGACTGTCATGGGTTCAATGTGTATTTATATATTATCAAATATTAATAAATTTATTCATTATTTATATATTTTACACGGAAAGTTTATATTAAATTAGCATTATCCATTCCTCAGTCAGGCAGTCAGTCCGTCAGTCTGTCTTATAAAACTAGTATGGTTGTCGACGGTTTAAAGGTTGTCTGCCCATTTGATTGTACGGTGTAAATATGACATTAGGCGGTGAATATCACATCATATTCCATAGTTCACTAGTCAATATTTTGTATGATGAGATCATTGTTGACAGCTGCAGGCTTTGTCACTTAACATGTACGGTTAGATTGCCAAACTTGTAATTTATTAAATCATGGTTAAACATCCGCATGAACACATCTGCGGATGTTTCTTAATTCAAAATTTCAACGTTTCCATGTAAAAAAATGTTGAATTCTGCTTAAGCCGGTACAAGGGGACATAGACGTAACTTTGTACCTGACAGTACCGTCCATGAATAGGCTGAATCAAACCGAGCTTGTAATTTTTTACAGTTTTGTCGTTTTGAACTTTCTTTAGGGATTCTTATTGTTCCCCCACTTTAGGTGCACCTGGGTAGTTTTGTTATTTTGTTATTCCCTTGACTTATAAGGGTTAGGGTTAGGGATAATGGCTCAATCAAACCGAGCCTGCAACATTTTCAATTTTGCCGTGTTGGGCTTTCTTTAGGGATTCTGTTTTTATCTATTTTATAGTAGTATTAATTTGCAATTTTCAACTTGTTCATGCATAGCTCAAAAAGTATTTGACTTGTAGGCCTGAAAGTATACAAGAATGTTGGTCAGCATGTGTTCTTATGTACATTGGGGTTTGCTTGCGGATTTATTCAGTATTTGTAAAATTCTTGCCCTTTACTCAGTAAAAAAAAATTAGTTATCAACTTGTGGCACATGTAGTCCAACAAATATTTGACTTAGAGTCATTAAATTGACAGAACAGTGGCGAGTGGGGGCACCCGTGTCCTATTTCACACATTTCTAGTTTTATAAATTCCATGATGTATTATTTATATATAGTTATCATCAATTATGGTTATTTTGATTACAGATACAAATAACAAAGTGTGTATATAATTTGTAACAAATGGTATTCTTATCAATAGCTTATACAGGATCATACATTTCATATTTGTTTAGAGGGAAATAGCCGTGTAAGATTGTAATGGTTTAAATTAATTAAGTATTTACCCCTTAACATATCTAATTTTCATTAAAATGCAACATTTGAACAAATTGTCATTGTGTTGATGGAATCATGATGCTAAATGTTTTGAAAAGCTATGTTTTTGTGAGCATAAATATGTTGTGTTATTCACATAAACGTGCCCCTCACCGCTCTGACAACAGTTTAGCAAGAAGGCAACAACATTGTATGAGTAACGTACATCTTGTTATGAGCTGAAGTGTTTTTTGAAATATTGAATATTTAGCTGACGATATCGAATATCCTTTTGTGATGTATAAAGAAAAATAGTACACTTCAAACCACTTGCCCTTCACTGCTGTAGTTCGAATCCCGACAGGTACTTATGATTCTTTCATATGAAGAATTTATCCAGCTAGCTTACCGAACGTCGATGGTTCTACTCAGGCGTTCGTGCCTGAAATAATGTACGGAAGGACACCTAAGGTCTTCCTCCACCAGTAAAGGTGGAACGTAACCATGTGACCTATAATGTGTCGGTGTGACGTAAAACCCAATTAAACAAACAAACAAACATATACATAAACGTCTATGAATAGCTAAAGTGTGGCTGATCATTTTGAAGGGTTACATCTGAAAAACGTTGATAACTGTCTCTGATTTCATGATCGTTCATATCACATTCATATGTTATATTTCAATAGAGCTTTTGATATTAAGAAAAAAAAATTGATTTATATTTTTATAGTTTAACAAGCATTGTCATACCAACCATTGTTGCAATTAGCTTAAAATGCATACATAGACCACTCATCTCATATACTTCTTTTGTTGTTTCTTGGCAACAATTGTTTATATATCGTTACTTTATGGATATTACATGTTTTCTGAAGGAACTGAAAGAAAAAAAGACTCATTTTAATATAAAATATGGTAAACAAGATCAACAAGGAAAGGCGGCGTTCAATGAACGCAACCCCCATATGACCCAGCAACAAGAACTAGTGGCAAAGAGCCCAGGCGGGCCCCAAACGAAAACAGGACAGGGCACAAGTCAGCATGAACAATTTAATCACTAAATGATAAATAATTTGTTACTGATTAGGAATTAAAAGAAAACAAATAAATGATTGAACAACAGGCCCAGAAAGTCAAAGGGCACAGGGAAGGGGACAGGAGACTGGGGAAGGGGGAAGGGGGGGTTAATAAAAGAAATAAAAACTAGGGGTGAAGGGGGAAGATACTTACCGTAGACGAGAAAACAACAAGAGACAGCATAATAATGACTGCTGGGGAGTTTAAACCGGTTAATGGTGCACCAAACCTCGCTCTTAGCCCCACCATGTTCCTATAAACGAGACAGTGTAAATAAATTTAATCCCCGCCAAGTGAAATTCTAACAGTTGTTATGGTCACAAAAGGTTAAATAAGTAAAACACCAAAATGATCATGTAGAAACATATAAAAGTAAACCTAATGACCATAACAAAAGTACTCAATGTCCTAAATGAAGACAGAACAACAAGAAAATCACCTACAAGGACCCGACGAAGCAAGGCAGAAGACGAACATTAAAACAATTCAGTCCCAAAGGGCTTTAAGAACTATCCATCATAGAGTCTCCCACTTGGTTTGTCAGATGTAATCAAAAGAGGAAAGCGTAGTGTCCAACTGTAAAAGGCTTGAACACTTAACATGCAGTATGTCTTAAAATAGCAGGGTCATAACCTCTTTTAATAAAACGTTTAATGATTTTAGTAAAAACAGCAGAAAAATTACCATGACCCAAAATCTTACGAAGTTTGTAAATCACCTCGCCATGAAAACAAGGCTGGCTGATCCCTTGTCACAGAAGAGTTCTTAAATCACAATTGAAATTAGAAATTAAATCAAAGTTACGTTTGTAAAATTTAGTAAAATATTTCCGTACTTTATGATAGCGGCAGCCCTGTTTTAGAAGCTTGTTGGCAATAAATATATTCCGCTCGTTGAAATCCTTTACGCTGACACAAGCTATAGCGAATCTAATTAACTGAGAAACATATACCCCGTAAGATGTTGCATGGGGTACGTCTCCATCTAAATGTGGATAATTAACTATACAAAAGTCAAAGTCATCTCTTTTATCATAGATTTTTTTGTGAATAGAATTGATGTTGATAGTTATATGAAGATCCAAAAATGATGTACTAAAATTTCAAGAGTTCGGTTTATTAAGTTGTAGTTCATGCGGATAAATGTCAGACACCATTTGATCAAAATAAGAATTATCTAAATTAAAAATTTCATTGAGGTATCTGGAAGTATTATTAAATGCGACAATGACATCTTGTTGTTTATCTTCAGTGAGACTCAACATTAAGTCTCTTTCATAGCAATACAAAAACAAATCGGCGACCAGGGGTGCACAATTAGTACACATAGGAATTCCTATGATCTGTTTAAATAGGGTATTACCAAACATGACATAAATATTGTCTAACAGCAAAGAGAGTGCTCTTCAAACTTCGTCACAGGTCCACATAGTATAATGTTTAACAATACCGTTAGTAAAAAAAGCTTTGTTAGAATTTCATGCAAAAGTTTTCTGAATTAGGGAAATTAGTTTATCATTGATTTATATATGTGGCAACGTTGAATAAAGTGTAGAAAAATCGTATGTACTGACAGTTGAAGCTTGAAAGTTCTTAATTTTGAATTTATCCAAGATTTCACCAGAATTATAAATTGATTAATTTATGTTTCGGAAAAGGAATAATATAACTTTCTATTTCATGCATGTCACACTTATGTCGTTACTAATGTGATAAATAAATAAAACAAAGAAAAATACTTGTTGTAAACTTACTTTCGGTTATTAAGTTGCTTAATACATTTGTCCCATTTTAAATAGGCTGATACAAAGTATACGATGCAGTACTTATGTACATAATGCAAAATTTTAAGCATTAATTTAAAATGTTCATTTCTTTTCGATAATAACACACGCATCTAGCCCTCAACATATATTATTTGCATGTATTAAAGGCATGTTTAATGGAAAGCCACTAAAGCAATTTAAATATATATTGTTTAATCATGAGTAAATGACATATTTACTATTTCATGATCAATCTTTTTTATTACTGAACTTTAAAGCACAATATTGGATTAAAATATTTTGAATGGCAAAACAAGGATTATCATTTATCTTACATTGAATAGGTTCTTTGTCATACTGATAGGGATGTTGCACTTTGACAGTATCTGTTATGAACAGACGTAACAAACCGAATCTGTAGTCTAAATGATTTTTATTGCTTCCGATTTAAACTTTATGCTATGTCAAAAAATATGAAGCATCCGTTAATTTAAATAATCCTCGTAGATATTTATATGCACTTTATTTAACGTTTGGCTTTATGAATATGTATGAAGTTTGAATTAATAAGATAATTGTTTCATTAATTAATCAACGTTAATCACAATACAAATTTTCCTGTCGTTTGCAGAAGAAATATTTTATGTTTTTTTTTTATTATTCTGAGTAATGTTGCCTGTACATTCCCTAGTCAAACCATACAAGTGTGAAATTACTTCAGTTACAAAACAGCTTTATGTTATTCTATATTCCAAAAGATCAGGACTTTTATGTTTTGAGATCAGGG